TCCGGGTCAGAGCCGCGGACATGCCACTTCTACGCCGAGCTGCATGCAATTCTAGGGGGGGCCGCCACCACTACCCCACCTCTGACCGTGGATTCCGAGGCGGGGGTAATCTCATCAGCCACACCTGAGGATTCTGCGGACGGGGAAGAGGAGGAGGAGGAGGAGGAGGAGCTTGCGGAGAGCACACAGCACTCCATTCTCCCCAACAGCCAGGATCTTTTTCTCAGCCTGACTGAAGTACCCTCCCAAGCCAGTATCCAAGACCATGACCCAATGGAAGGGACCTCAGGTGAGTTTACCTTTTAAAATATAAAACTTGTTTTAAAAGCAAGCTTTTTTTAATGATTACTTTGCCCTGAGGACTTTGGGATGCATTCGCAGCCAGTATAGCTACTGGAAAAGTCTGTTAACGTGTCTGGGGATGGAGCGGAAATCCTCCAGGGACATCTCCATGAAGCTCTCCTGGAGGTACTCCAAAAGCCTTTCCACAAGTTTTCTGGGCAGTGCAGCCTTATTCCGTCCTCCATGGTAGGACACTTGACCACGCCATGCTAGTAGCAAGTAATCTAGTATCATTGCATGACAAAGCCTGGTAGTGTATGGTCCCGGTGTTTGCTGGTGTTCAAGCAACATCCGTTCTTTATCTCGCTGTGTAATCCTCAGGAGAGTGATATCACTCATGGTAACCTGGTTGAAATACGGGAATTTAATTAAGGGGACAGAGGTGGCCGTTCCTACTGGGCTGTTTGCCTGTGGCTGAAAAGAAATCCTTCCCTGCAGTTAGCCAAGCGCGGGGGCTGGGGGGGGGGAATTGGCCCTGAGCTTTTCGCGTTTGGCTAGCAGGGATCTTCGCTGATACCAGCCACGCGGTGGGGGGAGGGATAAAGTGATCATCCAGAGAATTGGATGGTGGGGGGGTTAGTTTGTTTTCTGCTGCTGAAGGTTAACAGGAAAACCGCAGCACTCAACGGGCTTTGCTTGGTATGTGGGAAAGGAGGGCGCAGAAGCCGAAAGACAATGGCTTACCATGGCCGCATGCAAGCCGAATTCTGTTGCTCGGACCTGCGTCTGTGATCTCTAGCAGCAAAGCCACAGGCACTCAATATTAAGAGGCAAAATGCGACCTTGCACAGAAATCACGTGCTATATAATGTGAATAGTGTTGGTCACCATGAAAGAGTATAAGCATTGTTCTGTAAAATGTGTCTTTTTAAAAAATTCTCTCCTTTTTTCCCTCCCTCCAGCAGCTGCAAATTTTTCAAGCCTCCCTCCTCCGTCCCGAAGGCTATCTCAGATAAGGCGTTGGAAAAAGAGGACGCGAGACGAGATGTTCGCGGAAATCATGGAATCCACCCGCAGTGAAAGAGCTCATCTGAATGAGTGGAAGGACACAGTTTCAAAGTATAGGAAAGATGCCAGTGAACGTGAGGACAGGAGGGACCAACATGAGAACAGGAGGGATCAACGTGAGGAGAGGAGAGACGCTCGAGATGAGAGGTGGCGGCAGGAAGATCAGAGGAGGCAGGATGCAACACTGGGGCTGCTGCGTGAGCAAACAGACATGCTCCGGCGTCTGGTGGAGCTTCAGGAATGGCAGCAGGATCACAGACTGGCGCTACAGCCCCTGTATAACCCCTCTCCCCCCCTCACCATGTTCCATAGCCTCCTCACCCAGATGTGTAAGAACGCGGGGGGGGGAGGCTCCGTGCACCCTCCCATTCCACCCCAGTGGACAGCCCAAGCAAAAGGCTGTCATTTTTTTAACCTTTTTTTAGTGGCCTTTTCCTTCCCACCGATCCTCCTCCCAAACCCCACCCTGGTTCTCTCCCTCTTTTTATAATCAATTAATAAAGAATAAATGATTTTTAAACAATAGTGACTTTATTTCCTTTGAAAGCAAGCTGTGATCGAAGGGGGAGGGTGGGTTCCTTACAGAGAATGAGTCAATAAAGGGGGCGGGTTTTCATCAAGGAGAAACAAACAGAAATTTCACACTGTAGCCTGGCCAGTCATGAAACTGGTTTTCAAACCTTCTCTTATGCGCAGTGCTTCCTGGTGTGCTCCTCTAATCGCCCTGGTGTCTGGCTGCGCGTAATCAGCAGCCAGGCGATTTGCCTCAGCCTCCCACCCCACCATAAAGGTCTCCCCCTTACTTTCACAGAGATTGTGGAGCACACAGCAAGCAGCAATAACAATGGGGATATTGGTTTGGCTGAGGTCTGACTGAGTCAGTAACGATCGCCAGCGACCTTTTAAACGTCCAAATGCACATTCTACCACCATTCTGCACTTGCTCAGCCTGTAGTTGAACAGCTCCTGACTGCTGTCCAGGCTGCCTGTGTATGGCTTCATGAGCCATGGCATTAAGGGGTAGGTGGATCCCCAAGGATAACTATTGGCATTTCAACATCCCCAACGGTTATTTTCTGGTCCGGGAAGTAAGTCCCTTGCTGCAGCCGTTTAAACAGAGTAGTGTTCCTGAAGACGCGAGCATCATGAACCCTTCCTGGCCAGCCCACGTTGATGTTGGTGAAACGTCCCTTGTGATCCACCAGTGCTTGGAGCACCATTGAAAAGTACCCCTTGCGGTTTATATACTGGGTACCCTGGTGCTCTGGTGCCAAGATAGGGATATGGGTTCCATCTATCGCCCCACCACAGTTAGGGAATCCCATTGCAGCAAAGCCATCCACTATGACCTGCACATTTCCCAGAGTCACTACCTTTTGTAGCAGCAGCTCAGTGATTGCTTTGGCTACTTGCATCACAGCAGCCCCCATAGTAGATTTGCCCACTCCAAATTGATTCCCGACTGACCGGTAGCTGTCTGGCGTTGCAAGCTTCCACAGGGCTATCGCCACTCGCTTCTCAACTGTGAGGGCTGCTCTCATCTTGGTATTCTGGCGCTTCAGGGCAGGGGACAGCAAGTCACAAAGTTCCATGAAAGTGCCCTTACGCATGCGGAAGTTTCGCAGCCACTGGGAATCGTCCCACACCTGCAACACTATGCGGTCCCACCAGTCTGTGCTTGTTTCCCGGGCCCAGAATCGGCGTTCCACGGATAGAACCTGCCCCATTAACAACATGATCTCCAAAGCACCGGGGCCCGCGGTTTGAGAGAATTCTGTGTCCATGTCCATGTCCATGTCCTCATCACTCTTGTCGCTGCACTGCCGTCGCCGCCTCCTCCTCGCCTCGTTTTTCTGGTCCTGGTTCAGCATAAACTGCACGAGAATGCACGAGGTGTTTACAATGTTCATGACTGCTGTCTTGAGCTGAGTGGGCTCCATGCTTGCCGTGGTATGGAGTCTGCAGTGTTCACCCAGGAAAAAAGGCGAGAAATGGTTGTCTGCCGTTGCTTTCATGGAGGGAGGGGTGAGGCTGTACCCAGAACCACCTGTGACAATGTTTTTTGCCCCATCAGGCACTGGGATCTCAACCAAGGATTCCAATGGGCGGGGGAGACTGCGGGAACTATGGGATAGCTATGGGATAACTACCCACAGTGCAACGCTCTGGAAATCGACGCTAGCCCCAGTACATGGACGCACACCTTTGAATTAATGTGCTTAGTGTGGCCGCATACATTTGACTTTATACAATCTGTTTCCAAAATTCGAATTCTGTAAATTCGGATTAATCCCGTAGTGTAGACATACCCAAAAATTAAGATTGCCCAACATTCTCCATTAAAAGACCCCGTTTTCAGTTGCTTATACCTTTGCAAAACTTCAACTGTTTGGACTGAAATTTTCCATGCTGGGTGTCTACCTCAAGCTGACTTTTTTTGAAAGTTTCAGCTAAAACAGTTCAGCCACTTCCAAGAATAAGGTTAGGGAAAAATCAGTTGTTTTCCCCATGATAAAAAATTCTAACAACTATTCTGTTGAGAACTCTAGCACCTGCATGATTTGGAGCAGGGACTTGAAATTTGGCAGAGGTGTCTGGTGTCCCTGGTGTCAGGGAGATGTCTTTTGTTGTCCCCATTGAAATTTGCACAAATGTGGCTAAATTATAAGATGAAAAATCTCAGTTCACACATGCTCAGTAGAGATGTGTTAGAGTTTGGCAGCTAAATTCCCTGAAGATTCCATCTGAGCTGAACATGCTGTAGTGACCCTTCACCACTTCTATGTGTCAACTGCACTGTGTTTGTGGCATCACTACAAAAGACGAGAGAATGCTCAATCCTGGGGCTGGACAAGAATTTACCTGTAATTGCTACTCCTGGGTGCCAGGGGTCTCAGTGGTGCTGGGCACTCGAATGGAGAGCAGAAAGACTATATCTCCTGTGCTCTCAGTGACCACCCCTCCTGCCCCACCCCACCCTTGTTTGCTCCAGGCAGCATGGAGGAGAAAGAGGAAGCAACCTGACTCAAATGCAGAGGGGTGAGAAATGCTGTGGGGAAGGGAAGAGATGCAAAGGTGTGGGGACAGAGACAGGGGCTTGTGGGAGAGGGAGGATAGGAACCTGGGGGAGGGGGTTAGGAGCAGTAGTTGGGAGTATGGGATGGGGCAAAAAGACTGGGTGGGGATAGGAACAAAAGTGAGGGAGAAGGACAAAAACTGGTGATGGGGGCAGAATAGGAATGGGAGGCAGGTAAGGGTAGGGTTTGTAGAGGGGGAAGATAGAAGCAGAGAGGAGGAGGAACATGGGCAGGAGCAGAAGGGGGAGACCTAGCAGGAGAGGGATGAGGCAGGGGCAAGGATAGGAGCTGGGATAAGAAGTAGGAAGGGATGGGGCAGGAGTTAAGTGGTGGTGGAGGATGGGCAGCGTTGGGAGGATTTCAGGATAGGAGGGGCCAGGTAGGAGCTGAGAAGGGGCATAGGAGCAGAAGGGGACAGGGACAGGCTGGGAAGGATGGGGCAGAAGGGTCTATAGAGAGCTCTGTCCTGCAGAACCTGGAATGGAACCTGTTATCCATGAGTCTCAGCAGCCCTTTTTGGTCTAGCGAATAGCTAGACGAAATGGTAAAGTGTGTGTCTCCATCTCCCTCTAGCTGCAGATCCACACAGAAGATAACAGTCTGCAACTGTGGCCAGTTACTCCATTAGCTCAAGTAGCAGAGAAGTGTGCTTTGGATCTAAAGATCCATACAGATGATGCATATGAGAGGTATGTATTGTTCCATGTGATGAAATTTTTGTTTCTTCTATTTTTAAGTTTAAAAAAAAAAATATATATATATATATAGGACATTACATCCAGAAACCTACTATAAAAGAATGTTAAAGTTGCAAAGTCAAGCACTGAAAAGTTAGGAAACACCAGAATTATGGTTGCCTTCCATCAGTAAATATAATTAAAGCTTTTCTTCTGTTTGTGCAACTTAAATTTCCAATTTCCTTTTCTCTTCTTACAGGAGGAGTCTAGACTTGAAGGATTCTGGTGTCAGGGCAGGAGCCCAACAGGGTCAAAGTTTATTTATATCAACCTTTTTTCATTTGCAGACCCCTAAATTTTTTTGAATGGAGATGTGGACCCTTTTGGAAATCGTAGCCATATTCTGTGGGCCCCTAGGAGTCCACGAACCACAGATTGAAAACCACTATTCTGTGGTAACACCAACCTTTCGTGAACCCCTTAGACATAGTCTGCAGACCCCCCAGGGGTCCGCAGACCAGAAAACCACTAATTTATACTGATCTTCTCACGTTTCCTCTGGAAATGTTTTTTTCCTTTTGGACTCTGAAAATGTGCTGTAAGTCACTGCACTTTCTATGTTAATGTTCTTGTTTTGCATTGCCCTATTTGGGAATTTCCATTTTGATTGTGTCTAAGACTGGGGAAAGAACACAGGAAAATTACCTTCTGTGTAATGCAATAAATATTTATTTTCAAACTTTATTTATGAAAAGATTATTAACAATTTGTGTTAGGTTATCTGACCCCCTGATTTCTTGATAGGTAAAGGGCGGAATCAGATGGGAATGCAAGGTGAGCCCTACTTTATGGGGGCTGTCCCTGAGTCTTTTGCACCTGCAGCTACGCTGATTTGGATTTAAAGGTCAAGGTGATCACACAAGTGTGAAAAGTAATGTCATTTCTCAAGCTGGGCTCTAATGCTTTGGGACTGTTCAAAATCTTAAGCCTAGAATCAAATTTTGCAAGAGTTTCTGATCTTTCTAACAGGCCAGAGCAAAACACTGATTCCAAACACTCCCAAATTTGGTCAAACAGATCCAGTTCTGCATTTTAGAGCTTGAGCATATTCCTGATGTATTCTTCTTATCATATATGAAACACACTCATCTGTATTAATCCATTGTAATTACGTCTCTAGTAACTTAGCAGAAGCAAATAACTCTAGTTAAAAGAGGCCATAGAAAATGCATTGTTGTTGGACTGAGAATAAAAACTAGTTTCAGTCCTCTGTGTTAGCATTTCTCATAAAGGGGGCACTAAAGTTTGTCAGCGTTTCTTCTTTTTTTGTTGAAATATCATCTCTCATCAGAGTCAGATCTTAATGATGTAATGCACATATAGGACCACGTTCACCAAAAACCCATAGTAACCTTATGTGTGGAGTTGGGTGTTGAGAGGTGAAGAGTGCAGGTTGTGGCATGTTGGGATCCAGTAACGGGAGGACATTGTGTATTTCGGGGAAGCACCCTAAGAAAGAATTAAAGCCTGTGGTGTATAATATGGCTTCCCAAAAAAGTGTGTGGTCAGAAGTGACACCAAGATTCCTTGCCCACTACTTCCAAACAAGATTTTCAGTAGATGTGGGAACAAAGGAGGAAAGACAACAAGGAGTCTGGTGGCACCTTAAAGACTAACAGATTTATTTGGGCATAAGCTTTCGTGGGTAAAAACCTCATTTCTTCGGATGCATAGAGTGAAAGTTACAGATGCAGGCATTATATACTGACACATGGAGAGCAAGGAGGAAAGAGCATTCTGGTATTAATGACTACTATGCACCAGCAAGAGGCTTCTGGTTTCCTGTGGATGAAGACTTAGTAGCACTGATTGACTCAAAAAACAGATCAAATGTTTTTTGGGAGTAGAGAGGGAGAGGGGATTACAAGGTGCTACTGGCTCGGTGGAGGTTGTGGGATCCTGAAGAGTAATATGGGCAGAAAGGAGGGACATAGTAGTTACTACTGGAGAATTGTGGGGAGGGAAGTTGAACCGGAGGGTACAAGAAGCCTATGAAGGAATCGTGAAGACATTGAGGAGTTGATCAGATTGGGTTGTGTGTTTGCAGCAAGGAGAAGGGGGATCTGAGGAATATTGGTAGAATGTGGCTGGCTGAGAGGGAGGGAGGATGGAACCAAGAGGGCTTGATTTGGGGTAAATTACTGGATAACTGGGAGGATAGGGTAGTATTTAGTGATGAAATCCTTCAGTGGGTGCTGAATAGTTCAGAAATAATGATCTTTCTCCACTACAGCTTGGCCTTAAAAAGAAGGGAAATTAAAGCCAGAGTGCAAACAATGAACCATATTTGTTTTCTGTTTTTAAAGTATTTTCACATTTAGCAGAAATTATGTACCTGTGTCCGGTATTAACTTGATCTAATTAAATGTATTCCATTTGTAACCTAAGGGTATGTCTATGCTTAAAATGCTACAGCGGCACAGCATTGGTAATCCACCTCCAAAGAGGCAGTAGGTAAATCAATGGCAGTATTCTTCCACTGACCTGGCACTGTCTACACAGGGACTAAGGTTGACTTAATGACGTTGGTCATGGGAGTGGATTTTTCACACCCCTGCCCAACGTAGTTAAACTGAGCTAATTTTCTAGTGTAGACTAGGCCTAAGACACATTTTAAAATCATTACAATAAAAAAGAAACCAACATCTTGGGTCACTTTATCCTCCTCCCAGCCATTGTATAGGATTTTCTTGGCAGCAATAGACTAATTTTTCAGATAAAAGGATCAATAAATGTGAACTTTGGTATTTAAAAGACATGGCTTCTTGTTTCACATGAATAATGTACTATTATGTGAATTCAGTCTAGTGTCAATGAATGGCAATCATTGTTTGTTTAACGATGAAAATGTCTTGTAGAGAAATCAGAGTTGCCATTTTGGTTCTAGTGAAAGGGGCTTTAAAGGACAGACCTGCTAGCCTCCAGCCTGCTGTACACGCTTGTCTGCACTTTCCTTCTCAGCCAAAATTATCAATGCCATCCCACAGAGGAGCCTGCCTGCAGGCAATGAATGCCTGGACAAAATCCAGCGGTCTGAAGAACAGTCCAGAGAAGTCGGAAGTCAATGATGCTGGTAGGGAAAGGGAAATGCTTTGAGCTCGTGCATTCACTGAGGAGAAATCCAGGGGTGACAGGTTTGTAAATTTTTGGTGGTGCCCAGCACGGGTCCAAGTTCCGCCCTCCCACACCTGCCTAAGGCTCTGGGAGGGAGCTTGGGTGCGGGAGGGGTGCAGGCTCTGGGACGGAGTTTGGGTGCTGAGTGTGGGCTCTGGGCTGGGGCAAGAGGTTGAAGTGCAGGAGGGGGTGTGGACTCTGGGAGGGAGTTTGGGTGTGGGCTCTGGACTGGGGCAGGGGGTTGGGGTGCGGGAGAGGGTGAGAGGTGCGGCGCTTACCTCAGATGGCTCCCGAAAGCAACCTGCACACCCCTCTGGCAGCGGCTCCTAGGCAGGGAGAGCGGGGGGGGGGGGGGAGAAGTTAGCCTGGACATGTATGACTGAAAACATTTATTCATCAAAGGCATCATCAGTGTCATCTTCTTCTAGGACACCATGACTAGGCATGTTGTCACACTGATCCTTGTACACACCACACTTGTCTCTGTGCCAGGCAGGCTGCTGGCCAAACATTTGCAGAGTGGTGAACATCTGGTCTTTGCATACGAGCATTCAATTAGCTGAAGGATTGATTCGGGAGCGCATGGTATTTCACATATGACTGGTGTGATTAGTCCATCCTCCAAGACTCACCCAGGCCCAATAAGGGGAGGATAGTTTTGGATGGCCCTTAGCAGATCAGAAGTGACTACAGGGCTTTGGGTGAAAGGGTGAGGGAGTTGGGAGTGCAGGTGGTGTTCTCTTTGATCCTTCTGGTCAAGGGTCGGAGCCCAGGTAGAGACAGATGCATACTGGAGGTGAATGATTGGCTGCGAAGATGGTGTCACCAGGAGGGCTTGAGCTTCCTTGATGATGGGATGCTGTTCCAGGAAGAAGGACTGCTAAACAGAGATGGGGACTACCTATCGAGGAAAGGGAAGAGCATATTTGGATTCAGACTGGCTAACCTAGTGAGGAGGGTTTTAAACTAGGTTTGACAGGGGAAGGGGGCAGGGATAGCTCAGTGGTTTGAGCATTGGCCTGCTAAACCCAGGGTTGTGAGTTCAATCCTTGAGGGGGCCATTTAGGGATCTGGGGCAAAAATCTGTCTGGGGATTGGTCCTGCTTTGAGCAGGGGGTTGAACTAGATGACCTCCTGAGGTCCCTTCCAACCCTGATAGTCTATGAGGTGATCAAAGCTCACAGGTAAGTCAAAAACATGGAGACCTGGGAGAAGGGTCAGAATTTGGGGAGAGTATGGGCTGTTATAGCAGGGATAAAGGAGAAGCAAGACAATTGGGGGGTGGAAATCAAATCAATATCTTAGATGTCTGTATACTAATGCAAGAAGTATGTGGAACAAGCAGGAAGAGCTCAAAATGCTAGTAAATAAACACAACTATGACATAGTTGGCATCACAGTGGTGGGATAATATGCATGACCATAATATTGGTATAGAAGGGTACAGCTTGCTCAGGAAGGACAGGCAGGAGAAAAAGGGAGGAGATGTTGCCTTATATATTAAAAATGTATACACTTGGACTGAGGTTGAGATGGAAATAGGAGACAGACTTGTTGAAAGTCTCTAGGTAAGGATAAAAGGGGTAAAAAACAAGGGTGATGTCATAGTAGGAGTTTACTACAGACCACCTAACCAGGAAGAAGAGATGGATGAGGCTTTTTTTAAACAACTAACAAAATCATCCAAAGCATATGACTCGGTGGTGATGGGGGATATACAGCTACTCAGACATGTGTTAGGAAAATAACACAGCAGGGCACAGATTATCTAAAAAGTTCTTGGAATGTATTGGAGACAATTTTTTATTTCAGAAAGTGGAGAAAGCTACTACGGGAGAGGGAGGAACTGGTTGAGAATTTGAAAGTGGAAGGCAGCTTGGGTGAAAGTGATCATGAAATGATAGAGTTCACGATTCTAAAGAATGCTAGGAGGGAGAACAGCAAAATAAAGACAATGGATTTCAAGAAGGCAGACTTTAGCAAAGTCAGTAGGAGGTGGTAGGTAAGATCCCATGGGAAGCAAGGGAAAAAACAATTGAAGACAGTTGGCAATTTTTCAAAGAGACATTATTAAGGGCACAAGAGCAAACTATCCCACTGCATGGGAAAGATAGGAAGTATGGCAAGAGACCATCCTGGCTTAACCAGGAGATCTTCAATGATCTAAAAATAAAAAAAGAGTCCTACAAAAAGTGGAAACAAGGTCAAAGTACAAAGGATGAATATAAACAAATAACATAAGTATGTAGGGACAAAATTAGAAAGGCCAAGGCACAAAATGAGATCAAACTAGCTAGAGACATAAAGGATAACAAGGAAACATTCTACAAATACATTAGAAGCAAGAGGAAGACCAAGGGTAGGACAGTTACTCAATGAGGAGGGAAAAATAATAACAGAAAATGTAAAACTGGCAGAGGTGCTTAATGACTTCTTTGTTTCAGTTTTCACCAAGGAGGTTGGTAGGGACTAGATGTCTAACATAGTGAATGCGAGTGAAAATGA